GCATGAATATTTCGCACGATGAGCGAATTTGAGTTGCATATCTCTGTGTATGAATGCGGTTTATTTAATGTGTCATAATAGTGTTTTTATCTTGGCAGGCACTCACTTAATCGTGAAGGAAGGATGGAAAGCGAAAGAGAGGAGCAGTAGGGATGTTAACCAGTCTGGGGTAACTCGTGTGCTACCCTGCACAGGAAGAAAGAATGGGGAGGGGGGGGGGGGGGTGAAAGAAGAGTAAAGAACGAGAGGCAGAGCACACACACACATAACGTCACCGCGCAAAGCGCCAGTCTTGTGCGGTGTACGGCATCATTAAGAGTGACCATATAGTTGTGCTTCCCTAAAGGACGTTCTTCTATTTTTCTCTTTTAAGTCATTCTGCGTTATATTTGGGACACCCTGTATAATGCAAAACGATCATATTGGTCGCTGCTTAAGACCTTTTCAGATTTCTTATACTGATTTTAGAGATACATGCATGATTTTTTGTGGTGTCAGTATTCAGGGTGATATGTTCCGTGGCGTGATTTGCGACTTCTGGGCAGGAATACTCGGAGGCACATACGTATGTATATGCTTCCGACGGCTGGACCAAAGCTAAATGTGACACTGCTTTTTGTAACATTCCTTAAAAAGTGATCTTTTATACTATCATTCGCACGTCGAGCTGAATCCGAAGTTTCTCTTCCAAAGACTTAGACTTCAAAAGACATAATAATAATGATAATAATAACTATGGGGCTTAACCTTTCAAAACCACCGAATCATTATGAGAGACGCCGTAGACGTCTTCCGACATTTTAAACCATCTGGAGTTCTTTAACGTGCGCCTAAATTGAAATACACGGGCCTCAAACATTTTGAGCCTCCATCGGAAATACGGCCGTCGCGGCTGGGATCCGCGATCCGCAGGTACTTTAGAAGGCAGGCATTCTGCTTCTCCTGAGCGAGACAGCTCCTATGGAGGACCGAGATATATTCGGACACCGTTTGCTGCGTGCCTTATCAAGTTTTCTCTTGCTTGTGAAATAAATATTATGCAAGATCGGAATGCATTATTGCACAGAAATGTTGGAGGAAAGAATACGAACCACGGTCTAACACAGGGGTACGAAACATACAAGCACACGCGCCAAGCCTGTATAGAGAGAGATTTGACAAAACATTGACTTCAGTAGCAACCTACGCAGTGATGTTCCATGCAGGGAATTTTTCCTTTTTCGGGGATTTTCGCCTGTCATTTTCAGCCAAATTAATAAAGGGAATCATCGTGATATTGCAGGGAATTTCAGGAATGGTTATATTCTTCTATGACGACGGATAATTAGCTGTTACAGTGCGCCTTGATCTGCTGTAAACAATTTTGGTGCATGCAGCATGCAAATATAGCCTTTGAGATTTTCCTGGCGTTTACGTGGAGCGGTTACTAGTACACTATTGGTGTTAGAGTTGAAGCCCACTATGTGCAATGTACTAACAGTATATGAATTATTGAAGTCATGATTTTGTTTTCTGGCAGTGAAGAAGCTCGTCATGATTTTAAAAGTCGCCAGGACGTGACACGGGTTCGATTATAATGCGTGTGAGCACGAATGAGGGTGGAAATCAGTACTGTTCCACAGGGAAACATGCGGGAAATTTCATCAACGTTTGCAGGGAAAAATCACCGAAATGGGGCATTGTCGTGTCTCTGAATGGAAATTGTTCGCCGCAGTACGGAAAATCACTGACTTCACGTTCAAAAGTCTTTTTTTTAATACGAAGCCTTTCTTTGCGTGCTGCAAGTACTTTTATCTATCTGTCTATCTATCTATCTATCTATCTATCTATCTATCTATCTATCTATCTATCTATCTATCTATCTATCTATCTATCTAGCCACCTACGTCCGGGTGCTCTCATGATCCCCCCCCCCCCTCTCGCCAACACCAAAATTAGTGAAAGGGGATAAGAGGGTTGAATATGATAACGCGATGGTCATGACATGAGTAATGTCGCAGTATCATCGAGTTCGCGGTCAAACACATTCCAAAAAAACAGCGGTACAAACCAGGAGGCGGGAATGTGCGACAGGTGACAGACATTCTATATCTACTCAGGCACGGCGAAAATATACATGGGTAACTTTAATGCGATAAGAGGGACGGATTAAGAAAAATTTTATTGATAAAATAAAAAAAACTGCAAAGTTAACGGCCCGGGCTCAGGCCACCCGGACATTTTGTGCGGTGGGGCGTAGCCTTTCCACCACTGTCCGGGCCGCACAGATGGCCGTGCAGGCCTGAGCTAGTCAGCGCGCTTAGCCAACTCTCAACGAGAATGTCCGGCCCTATATTGGGCGTCAAGAAAAAGCTGTCATATACAGCGTTGACCGGGCGAATGCAAACAATACAAGTCAGTATCCAAGCAGAAATCGAACCCTATAGCATTCTGCGTGGCATTAAAGTATTCTACCACAGAGTCACGCCAGATTTCGGAAATAATTTTAAAATAGAACCTAATGTTAGTGAAACGTTCATCATGGTTGCAGTACTGGCCATCTAATTTTATAAACATTAGCCGTCATGTCCGGTTAACATAAATTGTAGTTTGGCGCCATCCGCTTTAAGGGCTACCACCCTCGCGCACACCAGTGCAAACACCAAGCTTCCTATCAGCTTAGCCATAGCCTCCTTTATAAAGGAGGCTATGGCTTAGCACTTCTGCCAATATTCATGTTTCTGTTGCCGTCGTTATGCAACAGCAAACAGCTGCTCATATAATACATGTGCGGCTGTTTAACGTATGCATGTGTATGCGTGGATTTGTACGTACGTTTAGCGCCACTTCATAATGCCTCACTCAATAAAAAAAAAAGCAAACACGTTTGCCTCCAATCGGCATGCTTCGTATAACATCGATTCCCAAGGTATACGTGGGATCTGCCGCATTTTTTTATTGTAAACGTCACGCACTACAAACGACACTGGTAGAGCGCGAACGAACGCAAGGACAAATGAACGAACGCTCGCACACACTGGCGTTGCTGACAACAACAGTCTTTTAGCAAGTTGCGCAAGCACGGTTCACAAACACGGTATATAGCGTACCGGTACCACACCTCCTCTTTGGTCGTTGGCCTTCTGCCAGTGGAGGCGCCCAAACACCGCAACGGCTCTTTCAAAACTTACTGTACGGTTGTCTCGCCTCGTCGTTGCCTGTCAGCTTACTGTTAACGAGGTACCTGTCGTCCGGGGGTTGTACTGCCTCTGCAACTAGGGGCGGCTTAAACACGACGACTGGAAAAGAGGAGGACCACTACCGCACTGTTGATTGTTACTTCCCGCTCGTGTGTGTCCTACCTGTGCTTTTTCTGTTGTTCTTCATAAACAGCGTGATGCAAGCGTCAACCATACTGCCTCGCCTAACTCGCTAAAAGTTTTTATTTTATTTCCACCTCCAGCCGACAAAACCTGTGTTTCACACAATGGCTACGTCAACAATGCGCAGTAAAGATTATCAACAACTAAGGCATTTCTACCCATTTCATCAGCAAGATAGCGTAAATGTACTGGGCAGAGGCACATGAAAGACAAGCTATATATACATCACACCAGATGCCTGTTCGCACTGCACTTCTGGCTGGTAAAAGGTCGAAAAAATGTATTGTAGTTGTTGGTAATGTTTCCTGCGTAGTGCACACGTGGCGGCCATGTGCAAAACAGGGTTCGTTGTTGGCCGGGAGGCGGTAATAAATCTTATCGTTGTCAGTAGCATCCGTGTGCGTGTGTACTTTTCTTCATTTGTTATTGTGTTCTTTTGCGCTCAATCACTAAGAACATAGCAAACAAGCAAGCCTGCATCAGTGATCATCAAGCACAAACGACCAGGCGGTTAGAATGCTCTTTGGTTTCTCTTGTAGTCCTTCATTTTCTTCTCACGTCCGTTCAAGCACCTATTTGTTTTTTTCTGGTCCTTCGCATTCAGGCTTTATCCCGCAGCAGACTCTCGGTACTTCCCAGTTTCATACATCTCTCTTATCGAAACATAGGCACAGGAATGATACTCACACGAGGAGTGGTTGTTAAGCTACTTGGCACTTGCTAACAGCCGTGACGTGTCGTTTGTGTTCCAGTACTGCCGTGCGACAAAAATATAGACATCCGAGCGGGCAGCGACCATTTTCAATGTCATTTCTATTCTCATGTAACCGGTAAAATGGCGTCGTGAAGCCGGACTACTTTGCCATCCAAACAAGATGGCTGTTGAGCGGAATGGTTATATCTCGCTGCTGTGGTCGTCTGCCCAAAAGTAGACGCTTCCTCACGCGCTTAATCAAAATTAGGAGTAGTTAAGCGATGGACCAACATTTCGGTTAGTTTTTTTTAGCCTTTTAAGGGTGAAGCTCCTTAAGGCGTGGGCTGTGCGTCCCCTGTATGTAGCCACCTCTTCTTTAGTTTTTGCAGTGTTCACTAGATGGCGGTGCCGTCTTCTCTATGTAGCCACTTCTCGTTAAGTTTTTGCAGTGTTCACTAGATGGCGGTACTTGTAGCTGATGACGAAAAGATGCAAGATGTTATAAACTAGACGGGGGTACTTGTAGTAGATGATGAAAGATGCGAGATGTTATCGAATAGGAATGATGTCACATATGACACGTGTCATTGGTTGAAGGCAATCATTCGATTTAGTGCAGCGACATACGCTAGGGGGAGCATTGTAATAAAATCGAGTGGGCAAAGTGTACGGAGGATTCATGGTTTACCAGGTTTACCGCCGGAGCTTCGCCCACTCATCATTATTCACTTCGTGGATATTGCGGCACTTTTTGTAGACGCTAGGTGGCATGATGCCACACAAACGTCATGCGCACGCCTGCAGATTACTCGGGCTCCTGGGATAGGTGCCATCTTCTAAGCTGTCAGGGTACATTGTCTGCCATGCTGACCAGAATTATGTCACACACAACTAGCGCCAATACACCGACAAGGGCACTAAGAAACACGCCGCATGCTACTCACGCTTAACGCCGCTCCACAGTCGGGGAGGCCTGCCACGTGTTCTGCCGCGCATGCGCACGACCACTTCTTGGACGCGGTAGTTGATACCCTTGCGAACGGAACTGGGCAATTCGTTGCTCTCGTCGCCGACACTGGCGCCCGTTAGGCCTCGCCGAGACGGGGCGCCACAGAACGCGACATCGCCAGAGCCTCCTAACGACGCCGAGATGCGACCGCTCCACAGGCTCCTCGTGGTGTCGTCAGTTATGTATCCACCACGCCTATAAGGGGGTGGGAAAAACGAAAACCTTCGAGACAAGCATATACCCTCCGCAGCCAAAAATACCCATCGAAAATTCCTGCGTTGCTTTACGTCATCGCCCTCTACCCCTCGATCTCGTTTTTCTTGCGCTCTGATCATCAACATACTAATTATTTAGGCAGCTAGCACCGTACTGACGTCGAATTATGGTGCTAGCTATAAGTTAGAGGAAAGGCAGGGATGTTAACCTGTTTCGCATAACCGTTATGTTAGCCTGTGCAGGGGGAAGGGATTGGGGATGGGAAACGAATGAAGGGGTTTATTCTGGGCATGCTGGTTATTCATTCTAAAAAGCTTTGAGGTAGCTCATGCGCGACCGACGGACACGAGAAGGCACAAATAAACACCACACAGCACTGTGTGGTGTCCATACTTATGCCTTCTCATGGCTGTGTGTCGCACATGTGCTACATCAATGCTTTTCGAACGGAGGCAGGTTTGTAGCATGACGTGAAACAGGTACAGATGGGTACACTGTTAAAGGGAACACCTGCGTAAGCAGCACGTTTAGATTTCGCAATCTTACGGAATCATAGCGGCTTAAATATGCATAAGACTATTGGTGGTTGAAAGTTCCGACTCCTCTTGACGGACCATCAACTTGAATGAAGAATGTTTCTTGATCGACTTGCTTTTAGAGGGTCAGGAATATTGATGGTGTGCATTCGAATGTTCCCTTTACCAGTGGACCATACTGTACATTGTACATCAGACCAGGGGAGGTCCTATATATTTTATTGGGGGTGTGTGGCACTCACAATAAGTCAGTTGCTTCAGGGGGACGGAGAGGCTGGGGAATCATGCGCTTCGTTTTCAATATGTTTTCTCTTAGCGGACGGTGAGGGCCTCTATGCGGAAATTTTAGAGAGGCAGGTGCCACCCCATCACGCACCCTGCTGTCACCGCCTTTGCACAAGACACGAAAATGCCGGAGTATCATCGTAAATGCGAAACGTCGATATCGATAGATTAAATTACTTGAAACATGGTTGGCAGTTTTAAATATTGATATATTGCAGTAAATACTAGCTTACTTAATAAACTTAACAGCAGGCCTATAAGGCAACCTTGAGACATTAAAGATTTATTATTCAATGATGAATACGTACACCTAATGTTAGACGCTGGCGTTGAGAACAGCGCCGTCAGAGGTGAGAATAATGTTAAGTGTTGCGGTTGCTACATTTTAATGCCCGCATGAATCTTTGAAATATAGTGGCTTCCGATATCACAGGCGTCTGAAAAGTCAGTTGGCAGAAAACTATCTGTGCTCCGTGAGTATTTGTACTCGGTGGGGTGCTCTGCTAATAATAAAATCTCTTAGCACACCAGATGCCAATATCTGGTTAACCTCCTAGCCTTACTTTTTCTTTCTCTCTCTTTCTCTGTTGTTTAATGTGCCAAAACCACGACGTGCTTAAGAGTGATGACGTAGTGGAGGGCTACGGAAATCACAACCCTTCAAGACTCTTTCACAAACTCTGGCACCGCACAGTACCCAGGCCTCTTGCAACTCTCCTTCACCGAAATGCGACAGCCGCGGCTGGGATCGAACCCATGACCTTCGGTTTAGCAACCGAGAGGGCGCTCGTGATACTGACGCATTAAGCCGTGTCGAAATCTAAAACCCTGCCACGGCCGGGCTAGACAACTGTTCTTCTCCATTCATGTCACATCTTGGAGCAGTTGCTAGGCGAAAGAAAGCAGCGCCGTTAAGGCCTCACCACACGTTTGCAGCGCGTCAGCGCGTCAGCGCATGGCATGTAGGTGCCGCGCCCTCTCCCTTCGAAGATCAAGGGCAAGCGGCTACGCGAAGCTCTCTCTCTCTCTCTTTATTGGGATAGGGCACAGCGCCTAATCTACAAGCCACGCGCTGACGCGCTGCAACGCGCACGTGTGGTGAGGCCTTTCGCAAGACGCAGCGACGACTGACCGGCGTGCGTCGAGAGACTCGTCGTCGTCGAGCACGTCGCTCGACTCGAACGCCGAGTCCGCGCCACCAGCCGTGCTCGTCGGTGACGCCGGCGGAGTGCGGAGGGAGAGCACGCCGTACTTTCCCGTCTTCGACTCCACTGGGTCCAGCATGTCCACCTGCGTGCAAGGGCGTCGCATGTAAGACCCGCACCGGCTGCTTTTTACCACAGAGGGAAAACGAATCTATGCGCCTCGACTAAAGCAACCACTCTGTGTTAGAGGGGCCAAATACAGTAATTTTAGCATTTTTGTATGGATGGCCAGCATTCTAAGCACTTAACACATCCACGGTTAATACAACGTTCGATATATTCTGTGCGACTGCCCGCACTACAGTGCACAGCATACAATCAATTTGATTTGCAAAGCAGGCCAGGGTTCTGTTATTACTGCAAAGTGCAAGCCATAGTGAAAATTTGAAAACTAAAAGGAACAGTGCAATTAAGGAACGAGGCAAGGGAAACACACGAGGACTGCCAAGTGACACTTCGTTGAAAGGAACCAGTACACATACGAGAAAAACGAGAAAGGTGTGCATGAAAATTAGGTAAAACTTTTAATTATGAAAGTTACATCAGGCAGTGGATTTCACTGTCTAATAGATCCAGAGACGCACGTGTACACAGCTTCTCTTTTTTGAGTATTACGTGGGTCTCGAGTGTATCTCCAGCGCACATGTCACGTTAGCGTTCAAGGAGGAGGGTGACGCCAGCTGGAGGTGCATCAGTGCTTGGCACCATGTACGGCGGCATTGCCTACAGCACCGGTTTTCAAAGAAATAGCACGTCCTCGCAACCGATCGTTGATGCACCACCCCGCCTATCTTTCTCTCTTCCACACACACACACACACACACACACACACACACACACACACACACACACACACACACACACACACACACACACGCACGCACGCACACGCACACACACACGCGCGCGCGCATGAACAACGAGTCTCATAAACGACGCAAGTCGCACACTCGGTGCAGGACATTTAGTCTTGCTTGGAACACGTGGAAGCACTGCCCGTCCAGGAAGTGCAAACACACTTGGAGGCTGCACCTATCGTTGTGTTTATTTTACGTCGTACCGTATCGGCACCGTTTATTCCATCGAAAAAATCGCAAGCCCTGAGTAGAACACGCAGAACAGTCACTGCGAAGGTTCGAAAAGCATCCTTAGCAGGCGATACTGTGAATTATTATGCTGTATCAACAAGACCAAACTGCAATCCTTATCGATGTCATTCAGTGTTAATTTCTACAGACGCTGGGCGTACACGAGATTTTCTGCTTATCTAGGGGCATAAATCATAATACTTTCCTATATTTAATGTATAAACACATTACACATTACACGATGATAATTCACTTCGAGTGCATGCTGCTCTCTTCTTTTTGTTCATCATGTTATCTGAAAGCCCATTTTGGGCTAGTTTATCATTAACCCATGATGGAGTAAACAGCACCTAATATCGTTGCCCCCTTTGTTAGGGGCGAAGCTCCTTATGGCGTGGCTTGTGCGTACCCCGTTGTTGTGCGTAACCGCCGGTGACACATACCCGAGAGAGCGGGTATGTGCCACAGGAGATAGACGGGTATGTGCCACAGGGGAAGGAGAGAGACGATCGCGCGACTACGATCGCGATGAAAAGATGCGAAATGGAGGTACTTGAAGTGTTCCCTAGGTGGACGGACGGAAGGACGCACGGATGGATGTACAGACAGACAAGCAGACGGACAGATGGGTGGATGGACACATGAACAGCCGGACACACGATGGACAGACGCACGTCGAACGAATGGACACACGGATGGACGCACAGACGGATGCGAGAAAGAACGAACGGATGGACGAAAGCACGGACGAACTGACAGACGCTTCGTCCCACTCATCATCATTCACTCCGTGGATACGCTGTGATTTTTTTGTGTGAACAGAGTGACCCCCCATAGCTGACATCAAAGTAAAAATAGTATTTCTTGGAAAGTCCGATTCAGTCGTACAGCGGTGGCATATTAGATACGACGCAGCTTTTTGACTGGCCTATGTAGCGCACGCTGTCCCTCCGTGCGTCCGCACGAACGCGCCGCTACACGCCCCCCTCCCCACAGGTGTTGGAGCGGTGTCAAGTAGATCACGCCGCAGCTGCGCGTAGACATCACGCTCGCCGCAGCGCTCGCAGCTGCCGCCTCGTCGGTTCACCCGCAACACCTGCAGCTACTGCCGCTCGCTCCGCTACAGGGACCACCACTCGCAAATCTTCCAGCGCTCACTGCCGCACACACGTTAGCGCATTTCAACCTATGACGCCACCCATGCGCAAAGCTGCTGCTTCGCATTCCATAAAGGTTCCCTTTGGGAAGCTTGCGACAATTTTTCTCCAGAAAGCCGCTTTCCCATTCATCACAAGTCGAATCTATCATGACCCATGTGTGCTTCGCCAACCTATTCTCAGTCCCATTGTTTATTTTGAGCTTATAATAAAATCTTACCAAGCACCTAAAAACGAATTCGGGTCTCCAAAAATATTTTTGCCGTCGCTTCTAGTGCGACGAGACTTGGCTTTTTCAAAAACAATTTACCCAAGGACTGCCAAAAAAAAAGATAGATAGATAGATAGATAGATAGATAGATAGATAGATAGATAGATAGATAGATAGATAGATAGATAGATAGATAGATAGATAGATAGATAGAAAATCGAATAAATAAATAAAGAAAAAAGAAAAGAAGGAAGGAAGAAAGAAAGAAAGAAAGAAAGAAGGAAAGAAAGAAAGAAAGAAAGAAAGAAAGAAAGAAAGAAAGCGACGCTAAAGTTAGGAAAATTTTCTTGAAGCCTTGAGCTGACCTAAAAAATCTGGTGGTGTTTTCCCATCCTATGCACGTGGCCCAACAAAAAAAAAAAATACCATCGGCTGTTCCAAGAGTTCCCAGATTAGTTCGCTCAAATAGCGGCTGCCTTATGGCGGCTAGAAAGTAGGAGCGGTATCTGCGATTAATAGAGAAGGGGCCGGCTTCCAATACTACACGTAATAGAGCCATAAAGCACGAAAAAGAAAGAAAGGAAAAAAATCCGGATTAGGAGACGAAAGAAGCGCGTCAACATGGTCTAATCTTCGCATCGGCTCTCGTAATGAGTTCGTCCAGCTGAAGAAAGCTGCTTTCCTTACTTCTTTGGGCACTAAGTGGAGAGGGAGCAGGTTTGTCTGTTCCTGGTGCTTTAATTACTTTTTCATTGATTTCACACGAATGAAAGCCCCCTAAATGTACTTTCGGCCCTGTTCACTTCCTCGTGGTAGAAGCTTGGTATAGCACATGACCTGTGCCACATTTTCAGCTCAGGATGTGTACTTTCCGTCAAAATTGCTTGTGGTAATAGGCAGTTATCGATAACTCTAATAGGTCAATGCCATGGCGATTCGTTATTTTTTCATCTTATGTATCTTACTGTAACGTAATCAACTTGATATCGCAACTGAAATTTACTCGTCCTAGTTTTTTTCACTAAGTAACTGGTGCAGTTACTAACAACTTTGTAACAAACCAACAGTCTGAGTTAGCACTATAAATAGCTAACAATGAAGTGGATTTCACTAAATTTCATTTGACTACCTTCACTAGAAGAGATTAGGGCTTAATGTGGCTAGTAATAATTAGTATTTAGTTTGCAGGAAGTTTTCCAATTGAGCCCCAAGCATTTCGAGGTCCTGGAGAAATAGCTTCTACGTCACTGCGCATGTTCGAGACTCAAAGAGCGTCTGGTTGTTGTCTTGGGAACGCTATTTGTCGAATTCAGCCCGAGTCCCAAAGCCCGCCTCAAAATCTTTGCGTCAAGCAAACATGATGGCACCCACTGAAGCGACGACTCTTGTACAAGACTATAGAGTGAACTAGAATAAAGGGAATGTCAAAAACGCAGCAGTCGCTATTCGAAAACACTTGGATGCTGCTTGACAAAAAGTGAGGCCCCGCAAACGCTTTTGGGGCCCCAATTCGAAAAACTCCTCGTGAATCCGCCAATGTTTTCAGTTAGTCATTTTTTTATTCTTTTACGAGCGTAAGTTTGTCGGCCGCAGATAACATTTCTTTTGCTCTGTGATCTTAAAACAGGAATCATTTGCAAGCTGAGTGGAATCCCAAATTTAACGACAAGCAGGAAGTTCTATGAAGCGAATACGAGAGGACAGAGGAGGCAATCAGAGTATATGACAACTCGTTTCGACATCGTCATGACCGCAGAATGGCACTTTGTTCGCACAGAAAAGGGTTGGCGCCGAGCCTGTATTTCGATTACCAAAAGGCCGCAGGCATACGCATGTCAGACCACGCAACTCACACGCATAGATGTGTGTCATGAGAACGGGAATAAAATAAAAAAAATACCAATGCGCAATGAACATTGCAAATGGCACGCCGCCCGAAGGGGTGGCGGAATTGAACAGGCGTAGCAGGTGGCACACAGCCGCCTTTTAATAAAACAGTATCATTAATAACGAGCCACGTGTGACGTGCACGCCAGCTGAGCGGGTGGCGTAAGCTTAAAACGAGAGGTGGTACCTATGATTGAAGCGGAAACAAAAGACACGGCGCACAGCGGGCACGGGGCAGCACACGCCATATTTCACGAGTCCAAACAATACACGCGAACCGAGTGGCCCCAATCCGCCCTCGTAGTCCCTCGAGCGTGACGGTCGTGGAGGTTTTTCGAAACCACTCCATAACTCAACCCGGGGAATCCTATCAATTTGTGCTATTCGGTGCTTCTTCGTTTTTTTTTTTCATTGGTGATTTTCAATCATCGCTGCCAGTAAGGTCGCACCCCCCCCCCCCCCCCAACCTCCCACTCCCTCCCCAAACTTTCCCAGCGGCTTCATCGCCACTCCTGGACTGCTCGGGTCAAGCCGCAGATATGGCACGGGGTCTCTAGGGAGGGCGCCCCAGGAACGGGACGAGGCTGACAACCTTTTCAAAGAAAAACAGAGCACGGGAAATTGGGCGTAGATGCGGTGGGGAGGCTGGCGGGAATGTGCGGTCGACAAAAGCTTCTCTCTCTCTTTTTTTTGTCATTTCGTCCCTGTATTCCCCTCTGAACTTTTCAAATCCCAGCTTCTG